CCTTCCGAGAATCGTCGCAGCAAGCGCGTGTCTGTGACCAGTGCTAGTGCTAGTGACGGTGTAGTGACAGTGTAGTGACGGTGTAGAGACAGTGTAGTGACACTAGTGACAGTGTAGTGACAGTGTTGTAACAGAAGTAGTGATAAATCCTGTAGAGGCTAGCTGTAAGTAGAAACATTGTAAATTAGAATAGGCATTAGCTAGGTTTAGATAGGGTTAGTTAGGTGTTAGGTAATTTTAATATTTGTAAATAGAGAATAATACGTGTAAATAAATAAGTAATATAAAACCGCCAAGTTTTTATTGTAAGAACCTGTCCAGCCCGCAACAATACATTGTAATTTTTATACTGTTTCCATGAAAACATATCAATAACATTATTTTCATAACTTAGACCCTTTTAAATCCAAAGCAGAGCCGGAGTTGATACAGCAACGGTTATAGAATCTTTCTTTCCATAATCATTGACATAGTTTTAGAATAAATAATCCATGATAAAAGGTTAGATTAAAATAAACCTACCTCATAGTTATGGAAAATATTATATTTAATTTATTTGTATCAGCTGTCTGAAATTGTGAAATTTGCAGTTTAATAGTTCTTCTTGTTTACATTTAAATGTCAAAGCAAATGTAAACAAACATTGTTAGTGTTCTCATCGCAGTCATGGAGACCAATCAATATTTACTTTTAAAAAGTTCACCTCATAATTTTTAAAGCCAAAGGGGCAAAGCCTACGGTCAGTATCGAAATGTGAATAGTCCTATAATGGTCCTTGGTAGTGTAGCTATATTTTTGTAAAATATAAGTCCAGTTGGTTCAGTAGTTTTTGCACCTATTAGTAACACACATACAGACAGACACCATGAGATTTTTATATAATAGTATAGAAGTATAGAAGTATAGATATAGATAGATAATTTCTTTTCGAATATCAAAATTTTATTTTTCTGTCCGTTAAACAGCCATTCCCCATTCCTTTTCTGTTATTAAACAGAATTTTGAAACGGTAACATAGCCTATACAGCAAGTTTGGTTAGTTATGTTATAACTTAGGTTAGATTAACTTAGCTTAGTTCGATTTTATAATCCAATAAAATAGGCTATTAAATGTTTGCCTAAACAAGGTTCGGCCTACTTCTAAATTAATAGATAATTTAAATGTGTTTGAAGATAACAAAAGGAATAAGTTATGAATCGTGAAGAAGTAAAACAAAAATATTGATAAGCTTATATCGAAAAGAAATCATCGATAATAATGAATGTTCCCTCAGGTAACTGCCAAAGAGTGAGAGACCCAATATAATATAGTAACCTAATCGGGTACTATAGTGTAGGTCTGTCTATCGATAGCGGAACCTAGCCTTGCCCTACGCCAGGGTAATGCAAAGCCTAGCCAATACGGCATAGACTTTTTTCCAAACAGTTAATGGTTTACAGGCTATAGGTTTAAATGTGTCAACCTAAACATTAGGCCTTTATACAACTCACCCAAGGGTTTCTAATATGAAAGTTACACCGCTTGGTAACTTATTTTGTAAGTGCCTTTTACCACACAGCCTAGACAGTTCTTATATAATTATAAGATTCGTCCTTTTGCAATGTTTATGGGAAATGTCGGTAGTCCTAAGCATGTCCTAACTGTGTGACCCTACAGGGGTACAACAGTTTCTTAACTGGGCTACGCTAATATCGATTGGAACTATCAAATTGAAATATTGATTAATAATCGATATTTTAAAATATAATGTCTATTATAAAATTAATCTATCATAACCTAACCTAACTAACCAAACTTGTTGATGGTGAAAAATAAAATCGCAGTTTACTAATCGAATCGATAGTTTCAATCGATATTAGTGTAGCCCAGTTAAGAAACTGTATCCTTGTTTTATTTGGACAACACTTGGAACAAAACACAACAAATACTTTTAAAGATTAGGCCTACAGTATAAAAACTAACTTTAACTTACAAGGGTGCACGGGGATGGCACGGTAGAACGCATAACAATAAACACTCTTTCTTTTATACACTTAAATCCGACTTCAAAACATACGATACTTCGATAAAACCTCAAATTATTTAAAAAAAAACACAGCTTAAAGACTTTGAAACTACAATCGCTGGGGCACGGCAGGGGCAGACAGAAGACAGAAGACAGAACGACAGAACAGTAAACAACTCTTTTGCTTCAATTGTGTGAGAGTCGTTCATTTGAGATCAGCTCAATTTTACGGTTTGCGCATGCGCAGTAGGCTAGTCCAATTCCTGCCCTGAAACGCTCGCCTCAATTCAATTCTCAACTCAATCTCAAACCTCAAACTCAAACCTCAATCTCTAAGTAATGTTTGGTTTTGGTATCGATATTCGATATATCGGACATATCGATATTTTTATATCGATATAAGACTTCCGATATTATCGGAATATCGATATTTTATTTCAGTATTATCGTTAGAATTGATTTTAGCAATTTTTAAAATAATAATGCACTAGCTGTACCCGTACCACGGCCACCTTTCTCCAGGCCGCGGCCTTCGAACTGGCAACGTCGCAAGAGGTGTTGTATTAGCTGTTTTTGTTTGGAAGTAGCTAATGGTATTTGTGTATTTACGAAAGATTGGTTACTGGACCATGACAATATTCGACTGCGCTAAAAATGTACAGATATAGATTTTAATTCATATTGTTTCGGTTTTCAATTCTGTATGTTTCATTTTCAATATTTTAATAAATTTATGTTCATAAATTTAAATAAATAAAGTGCGAATCAACCCTATTGGCGCCTTTCGCCGACTAAGTCGGCGAATTGATGTGTGCGCTCGGCGCCCAATCGCCGACTAGTAGGCTATTGGGACATTTTTTTTCAAACGCTTATTACGCAATGAAAATGATCCAGAAGTGTAATAATTTTGATACCGTTGGAAAGTAGAGATTCTGAACTTTTATTTTCATATATAATCGAACCTCGTAGCACCAACAGATCAATATAAACCTTATTATAATTTGAACAATATTTTGCGCGCGTAAAATTTTCGAGTCGCGGTCGGCAAAATCTCGTAAAACACGTTATCTTGAAATAAATGTACAAGAGTACAAGTCGTAATAATTCTGTCCTAAACACTGGCCTAAACGCCCTAAACAGGAAGTGGCTGGTACCATTGGAAAGAACTTTTTTTTTTGTTTTATTTACTTTACAATCTGTTCTATTATATATTGAACAATAAGTAAATACTATGTAATACGAAAAATTGACTTTGGAAAGAACTTGAGTTGTTCTTTATTTTCGTGTAGAGAACTTTGTCATATGAGGTTAGGAAGTCTGAAATAGTTATTTTTGAAATCAGCTGTTTTGCCAGTAGGCTATTTTGCCCAAAACGCCATGGTTTCTAAATCAGGAATAGAAGCTAAGAAAACGTTCTATCTCTATGTTTTGGTGCCTTTCAGTATTGAGATTCAGGTGACACATTAGTTCTGTTGTAACTAGAAAAACAAGTTGTTTGTTTGCGATCTGCTCGCCGGAATCTAAATACTGCTACATTATTATCTGTGCTAATTTTCATCAGAGGTTAGTGTTTTAGTGTAAAAGAAGTGTATTGACAATAGTGGTGTATGAGTTAGTAGTAGTGGGTAGTAGTATTTATTTATCCATATTACGCCTGGTGAGTATTATTATTTATGTCAAAATTCGTGTTATTGAAATGATGATTGTTTTGAGGTTATGCCATAGGCTATGCCTAAATCATAGCCTAGCCTACAATCGTATGTGTGTCTCACGCCAGAATAATGCTTCTGGAACTTTTATTTGTTTATATTTCTGTATATATATGTATATTTTCTTGTTCAGAAATATATTTCCTATAAATACATGTAATATTTATCATATTATTGTAAAGTACAAAAATTAGACCTAACTTTGAAAAACAAATTTTTGTTTTTGGAAAAACTAAAATTTCGTTTTTGGAAAAACTAAAATTTCGTTTTTTAAGTCATATAAAGGTATAAAAAAGTCACAACTTGGTACAATATGACATTATTCTGAATACATGTATTGTTTTCTAGTAATATAACAATTTTTGTATATAAATTGTATATACATCTGGTTATATTTTTAATGTTTCAAATGTTCGGCGCAAATTCGTAGATTTTCCCCATTTTCCGTATTTTTCCCCATAATTTTGGTAAAAAAATTATATTATTTAAAACAAATCAATCACATTTCCACGTAGGGAAATAAATTTCCTACATTTCATATAGGCTTAGAATGTCTGTAAAAAATTTGGTGTAAAAACGCTAGGCCTCTGCTTTTGAAAATTATTCTGAAAAATTGAAAGATTTTTTATTTTTTTACATTTAGCAAAGAAACCACCAACAGGGATTGCTGAAATTTTATTTTATTCTAAATCTCCTTTCTTTTCTGAACAAAACAAGTATGAATATGACTAGGTTATCAACAATACTTTAGGCACTGCGAATTTTAAAAAAAAACCTGCAAAATGGCCAAAACTGCCAGGGCGCCGAGCAATTTTGCATTAATCAGGCCAGGGCGCTCCTAGGGTCAATGAGCTGATGTCACCTGTCTGCCATGTTATCTTATGGGATGTCTGTCACTGAACAACATCACTTGTGACGTTGCCAATTCTGCCAGGCCGCGGCCTGTAGTTAAAGGCGCCCGTGGCTGTACCCGCGGGCTTTGCCCCGTTTAACTTCATAAGTGAGCTCGTTCGCATGGCTCAATCACGTCCTGGTTGAACCCGCGGGCTTTGCCCCGTTTAACTTCATAAGTGAGCTCGTTCGCATGGCTCAATCACGTCCTGGTTGAAGTTCGTTCGCTACGCTCACTCACTTTTCGGTTAGAGCTCGTTCGCTGCGCTCACTTGCCTTCAGGTTAGCTCGTTCGCTACGCTAACTCGCCTCCAGGTGTTTTTTTTCACTTGATTGTTAAATATTATTGACTCGATTCTACCATTAAATACTTAACCGGTAGATATTACGAATACGATATTGCCTGCCTTTCTTATTATTTATTATTAGGTATGTAAATCGTGTTAAGTTATGCCTGTGTTAATTTTACTAGCCTGGCCCAAACAATTGAATGATTTGTGGCACATCTATGATTTATTTTACACCAAGTAGCCTAATTATTGGGTACAGTCCCGCAAATAACCTGTTTACCTATTTTTTCCTCAAATTATATCCATAACAATTTGTGAATTTCACACTTCAGGAAGTGTGTTTGGGATGGGATAGCCTAACCAGCCTATAAGGCCCAACTTGTGAATTTTCACTACATTCACATTTGATACAGCAATTTTTATGAAGGGTACAGTTTCTTAACTGGGCTACCGGTACGGTACACTAATATTGATTGGAACTATCGTTCGATTACCTACTTAGTAAATCTTCATGCAATTTTTTTCACCATCCATCAGCAAGTTTGGTTGGTTAGGTTAGGTTATGATAGTTTAATTTAATAATAACTTAGATAACTTATATTTTAAAATATTGATTCATAATCAATATTTTCAATTCGATAGGTAGTTTCACTAAGGTAATATTAGCGTAGGCTAGCCCAGTTAAGAAACTGTACCCCTTATGGATAACTTATTGAATAAAATATGTAATTGAACTTAATTACCTAATACTTCATTCGATAATAGGCCTATATCACGAGTTTAACTTATATGGTAGGCCTACTAGAGCGGAGGCTGGTCTATACCCCCCCTCTCCCCCGGTGGGAATTTTTGAAATACCATACATTTTTGTGCTCGTATTGACACGTACTACAGATTTTAGGTGTTTGCCACTTGTGAATTACAGCATGTTCCAGAAAACACGAAAATATCATGATAGTTAGAATATAGTATATATTATGTATCTATACCGTACTTAAAAAAATTGTTTTTCTTTTCCGATTTCGTTTGGCTCTTTTAACCGACCGATTTTCATGATTGAGGTCTCAAATTGAAGGTATTAACGTACAGATTGCACATCAAGCATCGGCATATATTTGTCTACAGTCCCACTCGGCTTATACGTAAACAACATTTTCTCCCCATGTATTTCTTATGGGAGTTAAATTTGGTTTTTCTTTTCCGAGTTCATTTGGCGCTTCTACCCACCCGATTTTCATTATTGAGGTCTCAAATTGAAGGTATGCACGCACAGATTTCACATCAAGCATCAGTGTACTGGGATTTATCGACAGTCCCACTCGGCTTATACGTAAATGAAATTTGACCCCATGTATTTCTAAAGGGAGTTAAAAATTTGTTTTTTTTCTTTTCCGAGTTTCTTTGGCTCTTCTACACGTCCGATCTTCATGATTGAGGTCTTAAATTGGTAGTAGGCCTATGCACACATATATTTAACATCAAGCATCATCGTATATTTATCTACGGTACTTTATTACTCGACCAAAAAACATAGATTTTGATATATTTTTTAATTCGAATTCAATTTAAATTGTACGGTATTTTACCATTTATAATTATATAATATAACCCTATATATTTTAGTCTAAGAACCTTCAGTGAAATACGGCTTCATTTAAGATATTAGTTATTCAAATCGGACGGGTTTCAAGCAAACGCAAGGTAAAGATATGATAATTATTTTAACGCTGCAGTGCAGCATGGGTACTTTAGTATAGATTTTTTAGTTTGATTTGATTTGATTAGTTGATTCCTGTGCGTAGGACGGGCCCACAGCTAGTTAGAATTTGAAAATGCAAGTATGGTGAAGTCATCAGATTGTTCTCACAGTGACATGCAAGCAAATGAAATGAAACGAAGTGAGCAAAGTATTTTGCAAGTACTGTACTTGATGCTTTTGAACAATGCATCGGTCTGCAATGCAATGGTCTGTTTATCAGCTGGAAGACCTGTACCCGAATCGGTAGAAGACAATTTACTCAACGTAGATAATCTAGGGAAAGCTGCATGCAAACAGATTAGTTGAGATAAGAGCTAAAATAAATATTTTTCTGGAGTTTTACTGCTGTCCCAGGAAAGTGATATTAACCTTGAGAAGCTGATGACTTACCCATTAGATCCAGTACCATGGGCATTAGCCACTGCCGATGGATGCCCAACAAAAACAGAAAAGGCCAAACTGCTCCATGCTTTGGAGAACAAGGGTATATAGTAGACGAACCTCCCAAGATTGAAGAATGTATGTATGTAATTGACGGTATGGCTTACTTTTAGGTTCTTACTAATATTCCAAAAATCTCTGGTGAACTAGCACAGATTGCCTTCAGCCGTTTTCCGAAATTCAGCAGGATATACTTTATTACGGATACCTATTTAGATGTAGCCTATCTATTAAAAACATTGAAAGAGAGAAGGGGATTTGGAGAACCGTTTTTAATGAGAGGTCCAAAATCAAGATCCCACGGGATCGGGAAAAAATTGTAGCTAATGGTAAAAATAAGGAACAACGGGTTAACCTGTTAAATAATGAATGGTCTCAGCACAAATATGCATAAATTCAAACAAGCTTCAATACACGTTTCTAGGGTATTGTAAGGTTCTTTTTGGTGAAATTTTGAAATTCACCCCCCACCCACAAACGGGATTGCTGAGAGTAACTTAACTTTTTTTAAATGGCAACCCATATCAATCAGCACATTATTTCAAAGAGATTTAAAAAATAAAATTATTGTCGCAAATCCGATTTTGATATGAGGAAAACTAAGTTTTAGACGTTAATTTTACTGGAACCCTACATTCCAGTAAAATTTACGTCTAAAGTTTCTCAATAAAATTTATTTAATTTAAATAGAATCTCTTAAAATCTCTTTCCTAGAGGTACTCGTTACATCTGTCGGGAAAATTGGGAAAGTCGGGAATTAGTATTGAATTTTAAAATGGTCTTGAAAAGTCGGGATTTAGTATTAAATTTGATTTCAAAGTCGGGAATTTTTATGATTTTGCCGCGATCGTCGTCTTCCGTTTACGTAACCGCGAAAGCCAATGATGATTGTCCTCACGGCCTCGGGAAATGTTCACGATTTTGCCGCGATAGTGGACGACGACGATGACGTTTCCGAAACCACGGGAGACGACGATGACCTTTCCGTGACCACGGGAGACGACGATGACCTTTCCTCGATTGCGGGAGATGACGATGACGTTTCCGTGACCGCAGGAGATGACGATAACGTTACCGTGACCGCGGAAGACGACGATGATGTCTACACGGCCGCGGGAAATGTTCATGATTTTGCCGTGATCGCGGACGTCGACGATAACGTTTCCGTGACCGCGGGAGATGACGGTAATGTCTAAACAGCCGCGGGAAATGTTCATGACTTTGCCGCAAAACAAAGGCGACGACGATGACGTTTCCGTGACCGCGGGAGATGACGATGATGTCTAAACGGCCGTGGGAAATGTTCATGATTTTGCCGTGATTGCGGACGTCGACCATAACGTTTCCGTGACCGCGGACGTCGACCATAACGTTTCCGTGACCGCGGGAGATGACGATGACGTTTCCGTGACCGCGGGAGATAACGATGGCGTTTCCGTGACCGCGGGAGATAACGATGGCGTTTCCGTGACCGCGGGAGATGTCGATGACGTTTCCGTGACCGCGGGAGGCGACGATGATATCTGCTCGGCCGCGGGAGATGTTCATGATTTTGCCGTGATTGCAGACGTCGACGATAACGTTTTCGTGACCGCGGGAGATGACGATGACGTTTCCGTGACCGCGTGAGATGTCGATGACAATTCCGTGACCGCGGGTCTACACGGCCGCGGGAAATGTTCATGATTTTGCCGCGATCGCGGACGACGACGATGACGTTTCCGTGCCCGCGTGAGATGACGATGAGGTTTCCGTGACCGCGGGTCTAAACAGCCGCGGGAAATGTTCATGATTTTGCCGCGATCGCGGACGACGACGATGACGTTTCCGTGACCGCGGGAGATGACGATAAAGCTTCCGTGACCGTGGGAGACGACGAAGATGTATACACGGCCGCGGGAAATGTTCATGATTTTGTCGTGATCGCGGACGAAGACGATCACGTTTCTGTAATCGCTGCAGTCAATGATGATGTCTAAATGTAAGGTACGCGGAAGATTTCATGATAAAAAAAACCAAATTTGCTAGTTAGAACTTTTTATTGCTGCATTATTTCTTTACTTTAAACACCACATTATCATAATACTACTTTATGACAAAGACAAAGAGTTGGTGTAGTATTATTTAGAAAATTTGGTTAAGCTATAAAAATTGTATCGATATCAAGAATCGAGAATCGATACATTATGGTTTCAACACCCACTAATTGTGGAAAAAACTAGTCTTGAAAAATCTGGAATTTGTCTTGAAAAGTCTGGAATTAGTCTTGAATTTTATAATGGAAATAAACTAGACACCCTGAAATGTTATTTAAATAGATTTAATTGAAAATCAATTCAGTTTCAGGCCAATTTGAAATCCTCATTGCCTGCAGGTTTGCTGCAGCGGAGGTATTTTATTAACTTTTTTATTTTCATTTGAAGCCTTTGAATACATACTGAAGAAGTTTATAAAAAAATATTGCACCAGTAATTAACACAGGCTACCCTTTTGTAATTGAAATAAAACAGTTTTTAAATTTAACAGTTTTTCTTTATTTCCGGAATACGCTGTAATTTAAAAGAAGCAAACAACTGAATTCTTAATCTGGTAGTTAATACCAACAAAAAAAAGTATAAGTCATAAATTCCCACAGGGGGGGAGGGTTTCATATTGGTGGCTCATGGTCTATACCTACGGTAGGCTATTGATTAAACTTAAGGCTGTCTCATTAAGCTATACGCTGTTAATTCTTCTTTAACTTCATGAATTTCATCAGAGGGATTAAAGTTCCAGTTCGGGCAGACTAAACCACTGAGGTCCTGACCACCACATTTGACAGTAGCAAAGTTAGGTACTTGTGTGAACCTACCAATAAGTTTAACCATATCACTAATTACACTTAGTGCCCGCGCTTGTAAAAATCAATAAACAACACTGTTTCGGGCAAATCGGGCTGC